CACTTCTAGATATAAAACCCAATACTCTGTTTGCCTTATTTCGAACATTAACGCACTGTTTTCTAGGCCGTAGGTCCAGGCTTACAAGTACCCCTAGGTCTCTTTCACAAGTCTACTATTAAGACTAACAAAGAACTCAATAACATTCTGCCAAAGGACAGTTTGCCCAAAGCATTTCAAGAGTGAGTCAGGCGGTGAGACTGGTGCATTAATATCATTATTTATTAAACAAATCAAATATGTAAATGCTCCTTAAAATCGCAAATACTTTTTTCGAGTCAAAGATGTAATTTTTCGATCTGAATGTCTTAAGATTGCGACACATCCAGTAACTCACCAGGGGCACAAAAACACACACACACACACACACACACACACACACACACACACACACACACACACACACACACACAGCCCATAAGAGCCCGCACTGATAGATATAAGAATAGCACCATCCCATCTATTGTTAATGTATTGAACGCGTATCATTATGTCTAAATCACATATAAGTTTGTATATTTTCAGCTACCGGCTAAAACTCTATTAATAAACCGTTATTATTATTATTATTATTATTATTATTATTATTATTATTATTATTATTACACAGACGCACGCGGGTAGACTTACCGCCGCTGCTCAGACAGTGAGACTTAGCGAGGTCACCTCCATCTCGTAAGACACAGCAGCTTAGCGAGCAAGACAATTCTCAGCAAAGCCCCGAGAGCTGGGGATATTACTCACATATCTTAGGAATGGGGGAAGACTGGAGAAGGGGAAGGAGAGAAGCACTGAAATGGGAAATGGGGAGAATTATCATAGGAAAGGAGACAGGGAGCTAAAAAATATATAGGCTAGGAAATAAACAAGGAGAGAAAGAGAGGAAAGAGAAGAAGAATAACGGAAAGAGGAATAACAATAATGAAGAGAACGAACCAAAAAAAGAACAAAATCATCACTGTCACCATCTGTTGAGTTACCATTTGGGTTACCATCTGCTGGGTCACCATCTACTGGGTCACCATCTGCTGGGTCCATACTCTACTGGGTCATCGTCTGCTGGTCTCATCCACTGGGTCACCATTTGCGGGGTCACCATCTACTGGGTCACCATCTGCTGAGTCTGCATCTACTGGGTCACCATCACTGGGTCTACCATCTTCTGGGTCACCATCTGTGGGTCACCATCCTGGGTCACCATCTACTGGGTCAATCTGCTAGGTCACCATCTACTGGGTCACCTAACTAACACCAGCAGTATCCCAGGTAAGTGAAATGCCCCCAGGTGTTACAGCAAACATTCCTATTACACAGAGTGGCTGTTGCTAACATTCATAAAACGAAGATCGTGATATACCTGATGTGCTTATTTCCGAGTAGAGAAGAGGCGTTATGAGGTTGTGTTAGGTCGAGCATACACTATTCACTTCTAGACCAGACAGAATTAGAGCCAAAGTCGTTTTGTGTCATCAAATAGAGTTGTGTTTATAATGTCTGATCTAAACAAGTAATATCACGCTATGCCATCTGTATCAAGGTCAATTTCTGTATTGTTTTTGTTAAAGTCGTCAGGGGTCGTACCAGGTTATAAAACAGACCTCATAGAAACAACAGTGGAGCTAGCCTCCTTTGTTACAACAGGATGTGCTGAGGAGAGTTGTGAGTTGTTGATGGTAGTGGGTGTTGTTATTCTAGTCTCTTGTGACTCATTTCATCCCCTCTAACAAGAATCTCTCACCCCCTCCAATCAGGTCCCTTACCCTAACCTCAATTGGTTCAATAAATCAATCCTTAATCCTTATTTGACCTCTAAATCCTATCTACCTTAGTCATCTCATCTTTCCTTTAGCTTCATATCCTCACTCATCCACAACTCTCACTTCTTCCAACCTTAGAACATACACAAGATTTATAATAAACCTTCTATGTAACGAACTGTACAGAGATGAAAATCCGTTATATCGAGGGTCCGTTGAATATGAAATCTCCATGTAACGGATTATACGGAGAGAGAAGTCCGTTATTTGGAGGTTTCACTGTACCACTAACAATGAGTAGATAAAAAAAAAAAATCCGGTTTCCATTCGTCACTCCGTCTACAGTATTCTGCCATAAATCACCCCTTATCCCCTTAGCTCTAGGATTACCCTTTACTTCAGTGTCACCCCTTATCCACAGTGCCATCCCTTAGTTCCAGTGTCATCCCATAACTCTAGTGCCATCCCTTAGTTCCAGTGTCATCCCATAACTCTAGTGCCATCCCTTAGTTCCAGTGTCATCCCATAACTCTAGTGCCATCTCTTAGTTCCAGTGTCATCCCATAACTCTAGTGCCATCCCTTAGTTCAGTGTCATCATAACTCTAGTGCCTTCCTAGTTCCAGTGTCATCCCTAACTCTAGTGCCATCTCTTAGTTCCAGTGTCATCCCATAACTCTAGTGCCTCCCTTAGTTCAATGTCATCCCATAACTCTAGTGCCATCCCTTAGTTCAATGTCATCCCATAACTCTAGTGCCATCCCTTGGTTCAGTGTCATCCCATAACTCTAGTGCCATCCCAGTTCCAGTGTCATCCCATAACTCTAGTGTCATCTCTTAGTTCCAGTGTCATCCCATAACTCTAGTGCCATCCCTTAGTTCCAATGTCTCCCCTTCATCCTAGAATCACTCCATAACCCCTTAGCATCGCCCATAAAGTGGCACAATATCGGAAGCGCTACAGTGGTGGGTGCCATTGGTCGGTCGGGTCGGGTCGGGTCGGTTCGGGTCGGGGTGGTTTTGCCCTTGTCCTGCTCTGTACCGACGACATTGGGGAGGAAGGATATGATTAATTCTAAAGCCTTCCATCTCTAAATCAATATCTATTTTCCAGTGCCTCGACTTCTGCGGTAGACAAGCGGCCCGTGGTCACCGCCAGCCATTAATACGACGTCATAATCTGCTTTGATTGAGAGAGCGAGAACGGGCCAGTGCTAATGAAGCCACAATGAAAATGTTAGAATGTGGGTCAGGAGAGAGAGAGAGAGAGAGAGAAATGGTGAGGGAACAGAGTGAAGGGATATGGAGAGAAGAAGGAGGAGATGCGAAGAAAGGGAAAGATGGGAAGAAGAGAGGAGAAATGGGAAGAAAAGGAAGAGAGAGAGAGAGACAACATCCTCCTTGATCTTGACACAACTACCTTCCTGAGAGATTAGTTTCCAGTGTGTTGTGTTTGGTGTACCTGTGTAATAGATAAAGACCTTTCAACAGGTATACCGGTATAATATATATATATAACGATCCTTATGTGCTGCTGTTGGCGACGGGAGGCTGTTTACCATAGGATCTGTCCCATAGTGATGCAGACAGTAAAGAGGAAGTCATAAGAGGAAGAACAGTAAGACATTTGTATCTTAAATACTTAATACAATTGAGTTAATTCTAATTTCATAATAAAGTAAATGTAAAATACGTGAGCACAAGAATACACTGACCCCATCCCCTATGCTTATGCAAATACACTTACACACCTCCACAACAAGTCTAATACACTGAAACATCTCCACACACAAACAGTTAAACACTGACACACACACACACACCCACACACACACACACACAAAGAGTAATACACACACTTAGAGTAATACACACAGAGTAATACACACAGAGTAATACACACACAGAGTAATACAATAGCACCCCAACACACTAATAAACTGACACTCTCCCACACACACTAATAAACTGACACCCTCCCACATACACTAATAAACTGACACCCTCCCACATACACTAATAAACTGACACCCTCCCACATACACTAATAAACTGACTCCCTCCCACACACACTAATAAACTGACACCCTCCCACATACACTAATAAACTGACACCCTCCCACATACACTAATAAACTGACTCCCTCCCACACACACTAATAAACTGACACCCTCCCACATACACTAATAAACTGACTCCTCCCACATACACTAATAAACTGACACCCTCCCACATACACTAATAAACTGACACTCTCCCACATACACTAATAAACTGACTCCCTCCACACACACTAATAAGCAGCACCCTCCCACATACACTAATAAACTGACTCCCTCCCACATACACTAATAAACTGACTCCATCCACACATATAAACTGACACCCTCCACATACACACTAATAAACTGACACCTCCCACATACACTAATAAACTGACACTCTCCAGCACACACTAATAAACTGACACCCTCCCACACACACTAATAAACTGACACCCTCCCACACACACTAATAAAACTGACACCCTCCCACACACACTAATAAACTGACACCCTCCCACATACACCTAATAAGCAGCACCCTCCCACACTGCCTAATAAGCCCCAACACCCTCCACATACACTAATAAACTGACACTCTCCCCACATGCACTAATAAACTGACACCCTCCCACATAGACTAATAAACTGACACCCTCCCACATACACTAATAAACTGACCTCTCCCACACACACCAATAAGCAGCACCTCCCACATACACTAATAAACTGACACCCTCCCATATATACACTAATAAACTGACACCCTCCCACATACATAATAAACTGACACCCTCCCACATACACTAATAACGGCTGCTTGCTCTCCCACACACACTAATAAACAGCACCCTCCCACATACACTAATAAACTGACACCCTCCCATATACACTAATAAGCAGCACCCTCCCACATACACTAATAAACTGACACCCTCCCCACATACACTAATAAACTAAATACCCTCCCTTACACTAATAAACTGACACCCTCCCACATACACACCTAATAAACTGACACCCTCCACACACTAATAACTGACACCCTCCCACATACACTAATAAGCAGCACCCTCCCACATACACTAGCAAACTGACACTCTCCCACATACACTAATAAACTGACACACCCTCCCACATACACTAATAAACTGACACCCTCCCACATACACTAATAAACTGACACCCTCCCACATACACTAATAAACTGACACCCTCCCACACACACTAATAAACTGACACCCTCCCACACATACTAATAAACTGACTCCCTCCCACACACACTAATAAACTGACACCCTCCCACATACACTATTAACTGACACTTCTGTTCATCATACCCTCCACCAACATAGAGTGAACCTGAAAGTCAACGTGGATCTCTCAGGTATCTAAGTCCTACACCGACTGACCCAGTAGAAACCTTTTACCAACCATCACTGGCACATCCATAGTAACCCCTCTTAGCAGGGATGTTGTGTGGCCGTAGTGAGACATTAAGAGATCTCTAGACATATGGTTCAGGTAAGTTTATGTATATGGAGTCATTTGTACATATTATGGTCTTGTGTACTTATACATACATGGTCCAGTATCAAGGAAAAGTGAAATTGAACATTGTAAACATCTCTCATATTTCTTAGTCAGCTCATTCTATATGATGTAGACGTCGATACTATCTTGTATAGCGACTTCATGATCCATCTAGTACCTTGCACCTTAAGACCTGTGTTGCCACATCACTTACACTTTGCAATTGGTCTCACTCTACGCGAAGTGATCACCAATGTGAACACTCCTGTTAATAAGTTAGCTCAGACAGGGAACTGAACAAGAGGACCTAGCCAAGACCTAATTAGCAGGATCTAACTACTACTTTTGGATGGTTTGACTAGAGACAAGCTTTCTAAGGCGACGACCTCAACAAGACGTACTGTTCACTAACCAACCAAGCTGATGACTTTAACATATATCCTCCTCGTCATAACCATATTAAATTCACCAATTTACCTGGCTACAACATCAGGTAGGCGATGACCTTGACAAGACTCCTTGGTACTCCCGGCCTAGAGAACACCAACAAGACCTCAGAGCACACCGCCACACGCCCTCGCCTCCGGCACCAAAGGCCAGGCGCGTCGACGCTAACCAGCTTGCTGCGAGGAGCGGAATGGCGGACAACATAGCGGGAGTCTCGCGGGGGCACCACGGTCAAAACCAATTAAGTCGGACAACGTTGTCACCTAAGTCCGCCAACCATACGCTAAGTCAGGAGGAGGGTCAGTCCGCCGCGCTTAGTCGCCGAGGAGAGATTCAATTGCAGCTTATAATGTCTCCTGAGGGAGAGGTGAACCCACCCGTATTGTAAAGAACTT